TCGAGAAAGGTAATATTGCCTATTCAAGTACTGTTTACACTTTAACCGTTTTATGAACAATTTTTAAAAGGTGATTGTAGATAAATTATTGTTTAGACTTTGTTTTAAACGATATAAAATCAAAGTACTTGGACGATGCCAATGAGTCAAAGCGCTGATCATTTATCATTTTATTTTGCACATGTTTGTCATTATGAACATTGGAAATATAGCTAAGATTAGGAATGATTTTGAATTGTTTTTAAGTATACTTTTGGACAAGAATTCTATTGATTGCACTATGGTCGTTTCAGCAAGGTTATATTCATTTTCTAAATTTGAGACTATTTTTTTCGATTCACTAATTCATTTCTGGAAAGAAATTTAAATGTCATTCAAGATAGTTGAAATTCAGAAAGAAAGGATCATTTCTAAAGAAAACGTCTATATATATAATAGTTGTTTCTACATTTCTTTTGAATTACTCGAGGAGAGAAGATCACTCTAGACTAAACTCCCTCATAGTGGGAACACTTTTTATCGAAAACCATCATTTCAAAATCACTAACTTTTACATTCTAGCTTTTTTTGACAATTTTGTATTAATTTATATCTTTTTGTTTATCTGTGCCTAAACTATATAATCTTAAAAAGTATTATCCTACGAAGACAATGTATGTACCGTTGCCTTTTTAATTTGAAAATAAATTTTTAAAGAAAATTTTTGAAGAGGCCTTTGGTATTTCAGGCAACTTTATTATTAAAGCATGGAAGAACTTTTACAGATTCTGTTGTCTCTATTTTATGTCTCAACGAGGTAAAGGGACGAAACTGTCACTTCATCTCTTACAAAAAAAATCTATTTCACCAGGTTTGGTTCCGTTTCAGCTTCTCTCAAAAAAACATACCGCTAATTTTCATTTTTTTCCAGTTTCTTCTAAAAAAGCCGTTCCGATACATCCCATTTCATGTTTCCTCAAATATTTGTTAAAATGAACGGTAAACTTCAAAAATGAAATCACTAAAAGTGCAATCTTTTGCAAAGATGTACACTTGTAGCAGAAAGAATTACATGATTTTTACCAGTTAATGACGAAATTTCGTTTTTTTTACTGATGAAAATGATTTCCAACAAAATAAAGAATACAAAAATATCTTGTCCGGCTTCTTGGTCTGATTTTGTCTGTGAAATTGCAAAACCGATGAAAACGAATTTTTAATTGATTAATGATTTTGGCTAATCAGGTTCATTTACAGCTTCACTTTTATCAAATGAGGTTTGTTCGAGACATTTTTTACAAAAAAAAAAGAAAAAGATTTTTGAGCGTTTTTGAAATTCTGAAGAGAGAACAACAGAAAAGCTTTTAGGAAGGGACATAAATGCTCAGCAAAGCTCAAACGTTTTAATACGGAAGATAATAAAAGCACTTCGTATAAAAAGTGCAAGGAATTTCGAAAACTTTTCTCAGTGAAATCTGAAAGATTAGAAAAAGTATAAACAAAAAATTTTGGAACAAATTTGCTGCAAATGAGTGGACTGAACAGTTATCTCAAGATCTTTCTAAATTTGTGATAAAATTTCACAATATCTTTTATTCGAACTGCGCCTGTCACATATACTGCATGGTGATCTGTTAGATGCACATCAGTTTCTTAATCGAAATATACAAATCCAACTCTTATTTTGTTTTTCTTCCAACCTAAAATAAAGTTATCTGTTGATCAAGGAACTGCAATGTCACTTGTTTGCTTAATTTCCAACTTTATTTCGGTCCAGATATTATGATCACTTTTAATGATATCTACAATGCTCATTTAATGAATAACTACAGTTAGTTTAATGACTTTTGTGGTTTTTTATAGCGCTGCCTTGAAGATTCACAATATTTGAGCAGTAAAATTACAGGTAGAATTTTGATCTAGAATAAAAAGTTTTACGAACACAATAAAATAACAAATTAATTTGTTATTCATTTAAAGCCACAAACTTTTATACTATTCAAAAGTTTTTGTAGAGGCAATTTGTTTTTTATCCTTTCATTATAAAAAAATTAACCAATTTACTTACAAATTGTATTCTTTTCAATTCTCAGAAATGGAATTAACCTTATTCACATCAATTAAATACCATCATTTCCTTCTGTTTTTCCAGTTTTCTCCATTTTATTCCTTTCACATTTATTTTTATAAGCCTTTTCACCTATTGATTTGTCCATAGCGAAGCTTGAATATGGTTAAGGAATTTTCTTATTTTGGAAAGTTTTTTTTTGACAAGTTAACAACTTGGTTATGAGGAAACAAGTCAATGATTCCAAATGAATCGCGGCTAATCAGTTAATTTACTTCACAAATTAAATTCGTCAATTTAAATTCACTCATCTAAGTTCTTAATCTTGCTTTAAGTCTTACGAGTTCAAATAAATGGACTCCATATTTATTTACAAACACAAATATTTGAGTCTGAAGGTGAATCTCTACGCTTCATATGAAATTTAAATCAGTTTGCTGGAGTTCCATGATGTTTTGCTGCCAACATCAACGATATTTTGCAATAATTTCCATTCCTGTCCATACGATGACTTAATATGAAGCAAGTATTACTGCATCAAAAGTGCAATAAGAAGTAAATAAATAGGCGAGACAGAATTGGAAATATGAGTTCAAGAGTGAATAAAAATTATAGTTTAATTTAACAAAAATCTAAGCCAATTTATGACGATAAATCACTTCTCACTTCATTAACGTGACCTAGTCATTTAAATATAATATGATTCTATTGTGAATTGTACTAAATGATAAGAGCTAATGTTATCTTATTTTTTAATTTAAAATTTCATTGATTTTTCATTATTTTCTGTAAATACCGTTGTATTGCCGTGTAAGAAATGGCATCATTTTTGCTTAAATGATGAAAATATATCAACAGATACGGTCAGCCAGTAAACTGCAGTATTCCTATCAGCTCGCATCTTCCTCATGTTTTTTCATATTAAAAATTTTTCCTTCATTTCGTTAAAATCTGGTTTTACCATTGTAAATATGCATCGAATCTAGTTTTTTAACAGTTCATCAAACTCTACCATTTACAAATTTTTTTTTTGCTATTGTGCTATTGCAAACATATCCAATATGACTAAGTTCGTTGATCACTTGCTAATTGTCATGACTATATTATTGCATTATAGTAAATAAGGGAATCACTTTTCTGATCAATCATATCGCTTCCATGCTGAATGTATAATTATCATAATTATTCACTGTACATGAGTTGAAATTCTTTCAAATAGCAAACAAATTTCAATTAATGAATTTAATATAACAACACTTCCAAATTATCCATCGATAAATCAATGAGACATTCCAGATCCAATCTGACATGAAGATAAGAAGGCGCAATGTAAATCTTTTTCGCAATTTCATTCTTAAGATATGATTATTATCACGGAATTGGTGACTGCTTCATAATTTCATTTTATTAATATTCAAAAAATTGGCAAAATTCAACAAATTATATTCAGAAGTGATGATCACCTACCTACCTATCTACTTGTTAATAGTCTTTAAACTGTCTTTTTTTGTTCCACTTTCGGTTTTCTTCATTTCTTTGTTAAATTACTAATAAAAGTCAATATGATTCCATTTTATGCATGTCAAAATTTCAACATTTGTTATTGTCATAGTGATTCAGAAATCAAATTAAAATACCATTCTTCTTCCTTCATTAATTATATTTTCGTTAGCAATCCATTTCTCGCAAGACAGGTTTCATTACATTCTTTGTTCATGTAGTCGGACCGATGCCTCATTTTTTCTTCTTTTTTATCACTGCTGTCAAACTTTTTCCCCTTAATTTTCAAAGTCATTACAGATAAGTTTAAAATATCACATTGATGATTAAAGCATATCTCTGACAGTACAAACTCCGCTTAAAATGGAATGGATAATTCACGGGAGGAAAAAAAACAAGTGATATAAGAGCATGAGTGAGCAAAAAAAACCTATTTTTCAACTTGAGAAATATTTATAAAACTTAAGGGACAGAAAAGTTAGAACAAGAAAGAGAAAAGATAATTATGCAGTACTAAGTTGTAAGACATATGGTACTCCGAAGGGGCTCAGAAATGCTATCACCACTTCAGGTAGAAATAAATGACATTATATCATTATTTTCAGCTTCTCAGGTATTGTGCGATTAAGCTCTATAGTGTTTGTTTTGATATTAGAGGAGAGCATTTGAGTAGTTTATTAGATTTTTCTATCTACGCGTTGAAATCCTATCGTAGAACTCATCACTCACAATGTGTTGGAGAAATGAATATTAGTACTCAAGCGATGGATCCTGTAGCTTTATAACTTCCTATTACTTTGAGTGATAGCTTCGGACTTCAAAGTAATAATTCATTCCCTGTTTTATCATTGCAACAAATTTAACAGCATTTAGACTGGAATAGTGCTGTTGTCAAATAATGTCGGATCAATTCCGAATTCTCATAATTAGGATATTGCATTATGTGTTCAATATACTACATCTGCTCCCTCTATATATTCGGACTAGTAGGAAAACTTATAGCGGTATCTAGCTGCAAATAAATCAGAGTTCATTCCTTCTTTTGCATATTAATTGCTTTTACAATTAATATTCAGGTATTCTGGTATTCTTCAGGTATTCTCAGAGAGAAAAAATGACAAATACGAAATCGACAAAGAATGAATGTGAAACGGTGTTAAATGATAGAGGAAATGAAGAAATTAAGAATAATGAAATCGCTGAATTGACCATAATAATTGATGAGCAGAAAATTGGTTACTGTAGGTATGGTGCGGGAAAATATATTATGCTATTCATCTGTGGCGGAGTTGGTGGGTTTAAAGGCTTTTTCTGCCATTTCGCTAAAGAATTTTTAAAAAGGGTCATTTGTTTTTGTATTCGAGTCTTCATTTATAAGAGTTTGACACAAAATTTTCCTGAAAATTTTATGTACAAACAAATTATAAGAAATGAATAACATATTTTTGAAAAAATTACAGGCTGTTATGCAAAAGATTTTCCCGAAAAATTGCTGAACGCTTTCAATGCTGATAATTATACAATTATTTGCATCGATCCACCTGGTTACGGTAAAAGTCGTCCTCCAGAACGGTAAGTTCTCCTCTTTGTATTTTGTGGCAGCATTTACTTCAGACTAATAAATGAGATATTATTTGTTTTTCTCATTGATACATCGGTCTAATTATTTGCACTATCTCGAAACTCTATTCCTTTCATTTTAAGTAATTAATTTTGATTGAAACTTTCAGACAACAAGAAGTAAATCGATGTATGAAGGATGCACCCTTCTGCATAAAGCTTATGCAGGTCTTGCTTCTCCCAACATAATAAATTTACATTACATTAATGATGTGAAACAATTTGACAGCTGATTATCTAACTGAGCTCATAAAAGTAGGAAACAGGGAATACTGCGGTGGTTTCGAGTTTGGGTAAATATTACTTGCATTGGAAGGATTCAAGAATTTCAAAAATAGTGCATATAGGATATGGAATAATATCAAAACTTGCTAAATCACTCTCATCACTCAATGATTCTGTCTAAAAAGGAACTATTAAATGAGATTTTGAAAAATATTATGTATATATCTTCGTCACGAAAATATCATTACAGTTATCTTAGCTGATTTTTTATTTTACTAGTCTGTTTAGAGGTTAGTTCAAAGGTCAAATATTTTGTTGCATTTCAGCAGTTGAATTTGACACCCTTCTTAGTACTTGGCTGGAGTGAAGGTTCTCGAACAGCAATCCACGTTGCTGGACTAGGAAAACAGCTAGTCAACGGTGCCATTTTATTAGCCGCAGCTACACGAATTGATCAACGTGGAGCGCGCATTTTTCGCGGTGTATCTTTGTTGAATTTCAAATAGCTTAATATTTTTCATTTCAATGGTAACTGAAATACTGCTACTGTGTATTCAAATTTCAGTGTTTAAATTGTCTAATAAAAATTGATCAAATTATAAATTGAATAAAAAATAATGAGTTGTATACTTCAGGTATGCGAAACATAAATCAGTGGTTGCCAAATGCAACTGAAGTATATTTAAAGCATTACCCAAAAGAATTTGTTCAAAAACAGTGGGCTGATTTATGTGATGTCGTCCAACAGTAAGTAAGCTTAACGTAGATTAGGGCTAGAATGTGAAAAATCAAATACTAAATTAAGTTAGTTTAATGTCATGAAAATATTCTGAAAATCAAGCTAAACGAGCTTTATTGATGCTCCAAGCACTTCATAATAGTTTTGAAAGAATTAATTTATTGAAAAGTGAAGTTATTCTTTTTTCGGAACATAAGAAAGTAAATCAGTTTTTTAAAAATTTTAATACTACTAAGATCAATATTACCAAGATTTGTTGGTACATATATATGCAAAGAAATCCAATGGTAGAATAGATAGTATTATCACTTTCCAAAATGTCAATATATTTCCTAAAATTGTTAGAGTTTACGATTTGCTGGGAGGTCGTTTTCCATCAGACTATGTGCTGCCCAATTTGAAGATTCCAGTTTTGGTTATGACCGGCGGTATGGATAGATTTTGTGCTGATCCTAAGTACTTTGAAACAGCACTTACCAATTGCAGGTGTGTTTTTGAAGAACTCATTGTAATTTGTGATATTATTTTATGTGCTTCAATTGCAACGATTGATCAAAATAGTTGAAAAAAGTTTTTTTTTTTTTCTTTAATTTAAGGAAAAATGGTATGACAAAATTTTTTATATTAGTGACGAATATGACAATTCAACGAACACTTTTCAGAATTGAGAAGCATTCGCTTGGTGGCCATGACTTCTACTTGAAATATCCGAGATGGTTTGCAGATAAAATTAATGATTTTATTACTGATCCTAAAAACCATCTTTTCTGCTAATTTTATTCAGCTATTTGTGGTCAATATTGCGTGGAATAAAGTAAGACCCAACTGTTCAAAAATTTCAGCAGTTCTTTTAATAAATACAGGAATTAATATTTTTGTATTTTTCCGCTTTTGCTTAATAAAATATATTCTTTTTCATTTATGTGCTGACAAGACATTAAAGAGGTACTCTAAAAAATCCAACAATACAAATTTTTGAGTTTTTGAATTTGATTTTAAAAGTTTTTGTTTTAAAAATAAATCAAAATAAGCAATATGCACTACATGCACAACTGATTTGGTAAGGAATGAAGAAGAAATTAGGAAAGAATAATTAAGAATTTATATGATAAACGCGTATAGCATTTATGTTTTTTTTTTTTTTTTTTTTTTGATAAGAGCTGAGAAATGAATTGCACAGTTGTAAATTTTTTAATTGAAACAAGTTAAAATCATCAAAAGTCTAGCTGCTTTAGAAATTTTGTAGACGAAAATCAAATAAGGAATTTAATTTCCATATTTGTCAGATATTTAATTTGGGCTACCTAAGAATAAAGACGATCTCAATCATTAATAAAAAAAGATTTTATTGGAAGCCGAGAAAGTGCCGAGGCTTTTTTTGTTGGATTAAGTCTGTACGATTCATTTTTTTTTTTCTTTTTATAACCCTAACGTGGTATATATATATATATATATATATATATATATATATATATATATATATATATATATGAAGTATTGATAAAGCTTAAACAACCTACTGACATTTAAAGATTCGACTTTTTTTCAACTTCCTCTTACATTCCTCATTCAAGCCATACATCTTGGAAAATTTGATGCAGTCGAGAGTCCGCATGACTCCCGACTGCATCACATTTAAATCGCCGAATACTTGCCGTCATTTTATTGCATTGTTGTGGCTTGGGCTTAGCTGAGACATTCTGTGGCAATTCGTTCCGTTGAAATCAGCGTAAGGAAGTAGAGTGAAAAGCGAAACATTGGGTGATGTGAGTCGGCGCGTTCATTTTCTATTTTCACGTGGAATCTTCACGGGTTTCGGTTTTTAGCGTTGTCAACATACATTGAATACCTTCTTGTTGAAGTTAATGCTTCTGAAATAATTACAGTGATATTTTCTTCATACTGTAACTTCCTTTTTATATTTGCTGTTTCAGATCGAATCTGAGTACATTTATTTCGCCTGTGGTTTCAATGTGGCGTGCGCAAGTTACCGTAAATCTAACGCAAAATGAGAAGTTAAAGCAGCAAGAGGGAGGAGTAGATGATTGGGATACGGACCCAGACTTTATCGTAGGTTTTCCGAACTGGTGCAAGATTTATCTTATATAGCATATCCTCCCATTTTGAACATGCGATTAGGGCTTAGCATTTCGAAGAAACTTTCATCAGCAAACTGAGCTGCGGTTTTCTAACGGGAGGGGATAAAATTTTAGATGTCGTTTGTATTATGAAAGGAATACTCGTCTTGTTCAACTGCATAATCGGTCGGTAAATTGAGGTCGAGGTCGAAATATAATGTAAAAGGCTTAGCAAGTGATATATACTCTTTTTTGAAGACATTATCGAGAAAACCTTCATGAAAATCCAGTCACGTTATAGCTGGTTCAAAAATTTGGCATTCCTAAAGTAGGATTAGATTTTCATCTAAAGAATCATTTACAGAATTGTGCTATGGAAATTGTTATTTTTATTATAAAACGATTGTGTTTCCAGAATGATGTAAATGAAAAAGAAAGTCGCTGGGGTGCGAAGACTGTTGAAGGATCTGGTCATCTGGAATCGGTTTCATTAGATCAGTTACGTAAAGATGTAATTAAAAGCGACGGTCTGATAAAAGTAAATCTTTGTTGTCTCTTTTTTTTTTAAAATCAAAAACCGACTTACTGCAATAAGTTCTCGGCAAGATAAAAGATCTATGTGCTTATTAATAGTTGATTTAATTTGCATTACATTCATCTTTCAGACAACTAGTTTCTGAGCTATTTTGTTTGATTTCTGACTTGTTTTTTGGTTCTTCATTGTTTGGTTATTAGTAAAAAACTGATACAGCAACAATTTTATGAACTGTTTTATGATACAGCTTATATTATATTTCCATAATATCAGAATCAAAAACCGACTTACTGCAATAGGTTTTCGGCAAGATAGAAGATCTACATGCTTATTAATTTTTGTATTATAGGCCAAAAAAGCATCAGAAATGCCAAAAGCAAGTGAAGGATATGGTGGCAAATTTGGCGTGCAGAGGGATCGCATGGATAAGGTCTTTATCACTTTATATTCATGTTTTCAATTCAACACTTGTTCAGTTCTCTTCCCCATTTTGTTGACTTAAGTAAGCTTTTATTACAAAATTATTTTAAAGTTATGTTTTTCAGTGTGCCAAAACATGGGAATACGCTGGGAAGGTAGACAAACATTCATCGCAGAAAGATTACGCTAAAGGTTTCGGTGGGAGATATGGTGTTGAATTGGATCGGAAGGATAAAAGTGCTCATGGTTGGGATGAAAAGATGGCTCTTTCTAAACATGAAAGTCAAATAGGTAAAGAAAATATTGAGGATCATGCTTTCTCGTCTTTCTTTTTCTCCTCTTCCTTAGTTCTTTTTGTCTTTTATTTTGTTATGTGTTTGTTTCTCTTCCCATTGTTAATGAGAAAATATTCCATAGACTCATAGTATCTCACAAATATCTCACAAGAGCTGAACAGTAGAATTCCATACTTTTATCCAAAATATTTAATAGTGAGATATAAAGTGACTTTATATCGCAGACAGTTTTCTCGTGGTTTTAATTTACTCTTAGTTCACTTGTCCTAAAAATGGTCCACGAAAGACCAATTTTAATAGAAATGAATGGATGCCATAACATGATAAACAACTGCAGACAGTAGAGAAGTTTTGATTTTATGCAAACAACAGATAAGAAAGAGGAGTTGGTTGTGAAATAGGAAGAGAGGTAAGGAAGTAGTGAGTGTTTATTTGTTTCTTATTTCACTTCACAATATAGTTAAAAGAGCCAATGATTAACCCTTTTCAGGACTTTTCTTGTTGTCTGCGATATATTTATAGAATAATTCACAGTCACTTATAGTGATTTTTTGATTTATTCACTATTGTTTTTCTAAATAATTTGCTTTATGTATCTTTGTTGTCCACATTCTTAGTGGTGTTCGAATTAAGCTGGATTGAAAAGGTGAAAAGTTAATAACTCATAAGTTTTTTTTCTCTTTCTTTTCCCAAAATTTTAGGAAAATTCCATGTTCTGTTGTTTTATATCATCCTTTTCACTTATTATATTTTAAGGATCCTAAGATAAATTTAAATATTGTGATTTTCTCACGCAAGATATGGTTTACAAAAAATTTGTTCTTTTTGCTTATATTATAGTAACTTGAAGTTATTGTATCCTCTTGATTTATTACTTTGCTATTTTAATTTCGATTTTCAGATTATGCGAAAGGTTTTGGTGGAAAATATGGAGTTGAAGTTGACAGGAAAGATAAAAGTGCACTTGGTTGGGAGGAACAGGAGAAACTTCCACAACATGAGAGCCAAACAGGTATTGGGCTTGTTGATGAACTTTTAAATTGTAGATTATCTTCTGCAAACTTCAGAATAGATTTTTTTTTTCTCTTTAAATTTTGAATCTTAAGACTATGTGAATGAAAGATTTTAGGGCAGTTTTTTACAGATTATAAGAAAGGTTTCGGTGGAAAATTCGGTGTTCAAGAAGACCGCAAAGATAAAAGTGCACATGGATGGGAAGAACATGAAAAACTACAGCAGCATGAAAGCCAAATAGGTATCATTCAAGAGTTTTAAAGGGTTTCTTAACTTTTATGTTTTTTAAAACATTTGTTATATAAATGATTAATAAATTCCAGATTACAAGAAGGGGTTTGGTGGTAAATTTGGTGTTCAGGAAGATCGTAAAGATAAAAGTGCAGTTGGCTGGGATGAGCATGAAATGTTAGCCACCCATCAAAGTCAAGTAGGTAGGTATTTCAAAAATTCTTTTACTGCTCTAAAGCATCTTAAACCATAATTTCCAGCGAGTTTTGATTTATGTTTTAACACTTCTGTAATGTTCAATAAATTTTAGATTATAAAAAAGGATTTGGGGGAAAATTCGGTATCCAAGAGGACAGAAAGGATAAAAGCGCTGTTGGTTGGGATGATTATGAAAAATTGAACAAACATGAAAGCCAAACAGGTAAGACATAACTAGATTTTGTGTTTCTTATTAAGTTCTGTGGTAATATTGTTCAAAATATTCCTAAATTCTAGATTATAAAAAAGGTTTTGGTGGTCGTTTTGGTTTACAAGAAGACAGACAGGATAAATCGGCAATAGGCTATCAGCAGTATGATGATCTTGCTCAAAAGGAAAGCGAGAACTATGCTAAAGGCAACATTCGTGAAAATTTACATGTATTGAAACTGTGGAGATGATTCGATCATCTTTGTAAATTCGATGTGTAGTTTTTAGTATGAAAAGAGCCCCTATGGTAGCAAATATTTATTTTTATTATTGTATGTTAATAGATTCATTTAAGATTATAATGAAGATTTCAACTGTGAACTTAAAAATTGATTTGGGATTTGGTGTTTTGGGATGTTATGTTGATAATCATGTGATAATGTTTGCATCATAACTTTTCAGAAAAAGAACAAACACCGAAGAAGAATGCTGTACCTGTTACACCAAAAGGAATGGCTTTAAATTTACGTGCTAAATTTGAACAACTTTCAGTTGATGAGGTGTGTTCTCGAAAGTCTTTGGAAAATTAAGCTTAAAGTTCTCATATGCTGAGTTTGGCTAGTATGTTATTATAACGTTGTAGTTTTAATTGATTATGCAAATTTTTGTTCTTTTCGATTTTTATCTTTTGCATATTATACAGATAGGAAGTGCGTGGATTTTTTCCCTTTGTAGAATGACGAAAAAGTGCAGCAAGAGCGTGAACGTCGAAAACGGGAAGATGAAGAACTACGCAAGCAAAGGGAAAAGGAAGAGGAAGAAAGACAGAAAAAAATCGCTGAGGAGTGGAGACGACGTGAAGAACTAGAGCAACAGGTCAAAAATCATTAATCAAGAATACGAATTTTAATTCATAAAAGATTATGCTTAATACTGAACAAATTAAAACCTAAATGGAAAATATTTAAACATTTATTTGATGTAAACTTTAGCAAGGGGTCATGTTATATAATTAAACTTTTTCTCATTGGATATTGTCGGGAAAAATTTTCAATACGTTTTCGCACTTTTTCTCTCTGATTTCTAAGAATTTATGACAGAACTGCAGATGGATCCGGAAGCAGTTAGAGAAGAAATACGGAAGCATGAGCAGTTGCACCATACTGGAGGTAATTTTTTTTTCAGCGCTTATGTTTTAGAAATTATAGCTCCATAAAATTTGGTAATATTTTAGGCGCTCCTAAACGACATTCTCGTGCTCCAGCTGGAGCCGTAGCTATAATGCCTGGAATAGCTGGATCTCCTGCCAAACGTGAAACTTCTATTGAGCTGCATAAAAATATCGTTACATCGGAGAATTCTCCACCCCAACCTGTCAAATTGCCACTTTTCAATCTTTCATCTAATAAACTTTTCAACGGAATGGAACGTTATGCTCCACATAATGTTGAAAGGAGTGAAAATGTCCAAAATTGGAATAATGAATTGCAGAACAACTTTGCACACTTATCAGCTCACTCAGAGGTAGTAGAGGAAGTCTTTGCGTATGTCCTTGTTTATTTTAAGTTATTAGTTTGCCTTCAAACTGAAGCTTTTGTTCCACTAAACCAAAGCTATTTTCCTTAGAAGTATCGTTCTTTATTTTCAGACAAAGGGATTAACAACTGAAGAAGGAATGCTAAGTGGAAATAGGTATGATGTAGTACCGGGAGATAACGCAGTACCGCCACCAGCACCTATAACGCAGTCGCTACTATCGGAGACGGTTACTGGGTATAATGAAAGACATGATGAGTCTTCTTTAGAGGTGTAGTTTTTTATTAATTAAAGCTTTGCTCATCAGATTATTTGCAAAGCAACAATGGGAGTATTTTCTTTAGAACTGTAATCTTTATTGTTAGACAAATTTTTTAATTACTGAAGTTCGTTTTTAAGTAGACTTTTGGTTAAGTCTTAGTTCCTTTATGTAAAGGTTTTTTTTTTTTTCATTTTTTTTTAAAAATTATACTAGTGTTTCTTACTTGCTTGCTTTTTCCTTTTCAATTCCTATTCTGCATCTGTATTTCACCAGTTTCTCTATTTTTCTGTTATGTGAATGACTGTGCAGTCGCATCAAAAATTCGTACCTATTATTTTTTTTTTTCTTATATTTTGTACTGATGTTTATTTCACTATTTATTTTTTCTTGCTGTTTATTTCCAGACAGGTTATTATTACATGTACATTGCAGTTATGGTTTCTTCATTTTAAGTATAACATTTTCTATAGCAATGCAACATTTAAAACGCTACTTTTTTTTCAGAGAGGACAATCAAAAATAACAGCGGTAAGTGATCCACTTTCATCACCAACGCACCCACTTAGTTCTACAGGTCTTACAGCTGTTGCTATTTACGATTATCAGAAGCAAGACGATGACGAAATCAGCTTTGATCCTGATGATATCATCACCAATATTGATCAGGTAGTTTTTGTTTAATATGGTAGAATTCTTTCTTGTATAAGCAACTTCTTCATAAGTTTATTTTCGATTCGAAACAAGTTTTTCTTACAAAATACATTTCTATAAAGTACATTTTTACTCAAATCCTGCTGATTTTATTAGTTTTTTAACTTGCTTTCTTCAGTAATGTATATGTTTATTAGGAGTTTTGTAATGTTATGTAAATTAGCACCATTTAGGTTGATACTGGTTGGTGGCGGGGGCTTTGTAACGGGCAATATGGTTTGTTTCCAGCAAATTACGTCGAATTGCGATAGAAATTGTACCACTTTGATGAACGGATAGTTTGTTCTATACTTCTTTATTTGATATAGACGCATGAAATTTCTAAATATTTGCTAATAAGGTGAGATTAATTCAGATTTCTTAAAAATTTAATGGGTCAACTACTTCTTAAGCATTTATTTCTTTTTGGATTTACGAGCCGCAGAAAGGATTGAAAAGATTTACTATCAATGCTTTTTCGACCACTTTTTCTATTTGCATATCTTGTTATACTTCATTATATTATAGTTTCTTTCTTCCCTGACTCTACTGCATATTGTCTTAACTTGACCTGAATTATTTCAGCTAGGGATATAACCTAAGTATTCTTGGAAGTGATTCTTTCATGCTAATACTAAGGAACCAATTGAACACTTTTTGAATTCATATTCGTTCGAAAATTGATTAACAACCAGTTTTCTGCGCTGTAGTGAAAATAGTAAGTCCATTAAGTCATATTTTAAAGATTAATGTTATGCAAAATTTAGATTGTTTTTAAAGTCACGCTGTTATTGAATAATTTATAAGTCTTGCACACTTTAATAGGTGCTGAAGGCCTTATTCATATATCATATGAAGTAAGTACTTTAGACCACATTGTTTCATGAAGTGCTTTTTGATATCCTTAATGGACTCTAATTTTATTGGTTTAAAATTTGTGAAATATATATTCACTTTCCTACTTTCTTTATCATATACAAATGCATATACATTTGTAAGTGCGTTATGGATGTATTGCTATGTCCTATGAATATTATGAGATTCAATATTAAATTAATGTTTGTCTATTTCTTTCTCAATACCATATATGGATATGTTTAGAAATGCTTGAATAGTTATAATTTGTTCTACTTTTTCATATAATCCTTTCATCATAAAATAATAACGTTGAGGTCTATGAATATTATAAGATTTCATATTAAATTCCAAAGTTTATATTTAATAAAATATTTTACATCGAATTTTTTAAGCAAGTCTTACAAGGTATTTAGATATATTTTGCTTCATCAAATTTATTTGTAGATGAAACAGTGGTAATTTCATCCCGTTAATCAAAAAGATCCCTCTTCTAAAAAAATTGTTAGTTCTTTTGCATAAATTTTATGCCCACCTTCTGTTTGATATTTGCATATTATTTTAGATTTGTGCTTTCATTTCTATTCTAGAACTTTAATTGAAACAATTTTACCGAAATCTTACATATTAAATTAAAACAAGAGCGCAATGATTTCAGTTAGATATAATATTGAAGTTGGTTAAAAAGAATTTGTGTTATCAATCTTAACAGGCTGTAAATTTCGATTTCTGGATAGTATTATATTAGAGGAACTTCGTGTCAGCGCATTAGTAAATACGTATAAAATATTGAAATAAGAGAAATGGTGGATTTAGAGCTTATTCGTGCAGATGCTGAAAGTGTTGCAGAACCATTGTTATTCAGCACTAAATCTTCCGGATTAATGCGCATTCTGTCATAGTACGTTGTTAACAGATCTAAAATAACCCCATTCGACCAGCCAAAGCCATCCTGGAAATCACAATTTTAATTCATGCCAGAAAAATTAGAGTGAGTGAGGCATTTATATATGTGTCTTTTGTCTTATAACTACAGCTTTATGCATTATGGTTTTTTCACACTTTTTAGACAGCTTGAAATATATAGCAATACTGCTTTGTTAGCAGTTGAAAATATATGTACCTGAACAAAATATTCCCCGCCACCACCTGGTTGTGATACAGTCCCATTGACATCATACTGAAAAAAATGTGGTTGAGCACTTTGGAATTTAGGTTTTGAAGAAATAAATTGAATATAACTCCGCAACATAGTGAGATGGTCTAAGCTGTCAAAATACATGATTTTCTGATTTAAACATCTTTCTCAATCTGATTATTCATTTAACACTAGTAAAAGTATTAACCTTTTCCCACATATAACCCGTTTCCCGAAACACTTTGAAATTGCCCAAAATCCATTTCCTTGCCAAACGATATGCCTAAACAAATAATATGCCATCATATGGTTTCCAAAAACAAACTTTGCATAAGTAAACGAGCCTATAAAATGATGGTGCATTTGAGCTCCTTTACTAGGAATTTACACATTATTTCCGTTTTGTACCTGTTCTTGTACAACCGGATTGCTAGACTTTCTCATTCCTTCAATAATCATATGGTTTGCAGGACTCCAACCATTTGGAAAATCCCACTGCTGTTTGGTATTTTCAATAAGGCTTGCTGGTATACCACCTGGATAGTTGTATACTCCTGTTTTCTGTAAAGTTAGCATAACCATACGGTAGAAAAATTCTTTGGCAAAAACGATATGTCACAATTCAAATAATAATTTGAAAGTTCAATAGATCCCTGCAAAAGTTCCTTTTTAATCTTTTTTTTTAAGCACTTTTACCCATTTTGAATTTTTAAAGAGAGAAAAAAATTTTCTGAAAAACGAGCATTCAAATAGTTGACGATTTGTTGTGGTCGGGCCAGGTTCAACGGCTGATAGCATTCGCCGAACAATGGTACCACAATTGATGGATAAAAGTTGGAATTGTGAGATTTAGTTCGCAAATTGTAATCGAACCAGGCACCTTCAGTATTGTTGTAAAATATTTGAAGCATTGCTTGACGGAGAATTTCTCGTTTATCACGAAACATTTTTGATTTCGAAGGATTTCCTAAGCAATAAATTGAGAACATACAAATACAAATAAAAGTAAAAAAAAGGATATGAACCAACTATCTTGAAATAAAATTGTGCAGAAAGAAAAATGTCAAATGATCAACATAAATTTATCACTATCACTCAAATATTTCAGTGACTTCAATTTATTGAAGCTATCCTAAACCTGTTAGAACTACTGCTTGATATTATTACGTCTTTCAATAAAACAATGAAATGATGAGCAAAAATTACAACACCTAGAATTCTAGTCAGATATGAGAAAAGTTCAAATTTTCCGTACTTTTTCATACATACATATATTATATACATATAAATTTTCCGTGCATATATTTAATTATTCATTAAAACAAATTTCCTCTTTTATAGTCTTTCTCATCACTTCGTTACCTGTATGCTTAAGTAAATACTGCAAAATATCCAGATTCCAACATATGAAAGCATTTAAATCAATTGGGATAATATCGGTTGTTTCGATAGTTTCAATGTTGTGATTATCTCTGAACCATCGAGAACTGAAGTCCCATCCTGATTCTGCAGCTGATGCTATATCCTACAAATAATGTGTGAAAACTGAAAGCAGACATTAGACTTTAAATTTTAGCATTTTATTTTAGAATCGTTTTCTTACTAACCATATAAAATTTTGGTCGTTCGTGAGCTAGGAGCAGTGAAGCATGTATAATATCTGCACGAAATGATTCTGGTCGTGGTACATTACATTTACTGTGGTAATAAAAAACCGAAAATGTGTTGCCTTTATCATCTGACACATTGATAACTCTGTAACTTAATGAATATGTATAAATTTGGTATAAACTCTTCATATGTATAAACTCTTCAAAATTTGAGATTTGAGGCCTGAATTAGTCAAAAAGGTATGATCTTTAAAGTCAAAAAAGAGAATCTTTTGAATGCTCGAATGATCATGCAAGTTCAAAAATGAAATTCAACGAAGAACTAATTTAATTACCAAATAGCTTTTCACGTGAGATTCTTCACAATACTCAATATTAGAAATTGTTGAAATCTTAGTAAGAAGATCAAGACCAATTCTAACTATCAAAAACTGTTTCATATCAATATTTCACTACCTGTTGTTTTGCCAAAATTCGTACTCTTTGATGAGAGTCGGCAAAATTTTATTTATGAATGCAAGATCATGTGTCAGCTCATAATACTCATAAACCATAGGGATGAGCAGTGGTGGTTGAGACCGTCCAAGGTAATAGATCCGACCTCCGTTTGGGATAAATCCATATCTAAAACAAGAAGTGATATATTTGAAGTCTTCAAGGAATCAGTTTTTAAAGCAATTTAAAGAACGTATAAATACCGATTAGTTATTAAAGTAATAGCTTTATTTCCTTTAAAAAATGTACTTTCTTACTTCAACTCATTTAGATTGATTAATAAATAATTTGAAGTGGCAAGAAAACAAGAAATATTGTTACCTATCGACGATAGTAACAAAATTGGTAATCATTTTCTTGATTGTATTGTGAAGTCCACTAGCTGCCAAACCTTTCACAATCCAATAAGCGTCCCAGTAATAGAACTCACGAAATCGTCCACCAGGTACAATGAATTCCTCTGGGACATAAATTAATGAAGTTCGCTTTGGATTTCCATTTGATTTTATCTGTAGCAATGCAGAAATCAATTGTGCAGAATAAAAAAGTCCCTTATAAACTTTAGAGAATTTATGAACCTTTCAATTATCTTCAGTAAAATCCATTTTATTCAGTATGTGTATGCTTTCTGTATAAATCAAATAGTGTGCAATATTTAAATGAACAATCTGAAGAATTAGAACTGTCAAAAATGCTCGAAGTTTTTCAAAAAATATACTTTTCGACATAATAATTTCCAAATTGCATTAAGTTTTAGCGCCCAATCACGTAGCAGTGTATCTTGAATCTTCATTAGTTTCGATGGATGCTCAATCCATTCTTCTAATTGACAGTCTTCTAATTCGTTTCCGGGTAGATCGAAATATTCGTCAACGAATGCTTTCAATGCAGAACGATTAATGGCTTGAAGCTCATATTCACCAAAACGTCTATCAAATTCTTCTTGTATTACTTCTGGAACTTCGCAATGCCTCACAATTGCTATTCTATATACTTTTTTGGTGAGGAAGCTTAATCGATAATGATTTAGAAGTTAGACAAGGCACCTTAATTTAAAATTAATAAAATAGCAGAATTGAATTATCTAATTAATAAATCACTAGTAATATTAAAGTTTTATCATACCAGGGTCAAATTTCATTGGCATATCCACGAAATACTTCGAGTCCTGGAATAAATTGTGTACATTGACTGCTGCCAATAATCTTCCATAACAGTAAATAAACCTGAGTGTAAGCATCAATCAAACGATGTTGTTGATAACATAGATTCTAATAAAATTGATGAAGCAACTGTAAATAACTTTTGGTATAACATTACACATCGAAGTTCATGAACTTACGAATTGTTGGTATTTGTTTCATCACAAACATTTATGGATTTATTGCTTAAAGCTTCTTCGGCTATTTTGGCCAACTCGGAGACATCTGGATCGTTGACAGTGTGTACATTAATTAAAAGACAAGAGAAAATCCCAAAGCGAATGGCAATAGCTTCCATTATCTTAAGCTTCGAAGTTTTTTATTTCTCGAGTATGCATGCATGAAGCATGCACAGAGCAACTTGAAAATATGCCACTTCTAGAAATTTCAGAAATTTGAATCCTAGAAGTTATCATGAATCTTATAAAGCTAAATTAATCGATCATTACAGACTTGCAAGTTAATATAAGTTATGTAACATAAATTGTTTCCCCTGTTGTTTTTAGAAATTTTTACTTTTCAACTGAAATTTATTAAGAAAATATTTCGCTGTTTTCATATTGCTTTTATATGCCAATACGAAGAGTACAAGAAAAAAATTTACCGAAATACAAGAATATACTAGTTTTCTAACTTTAATTTCTTATAGTTTTTGTAAATGCATGTATGCCATATCCAAAATGAATTCAAATAGATGACTTTCTCTAACTAAGTTAATAGTAATATGCAAGAAAGTGTCAATAAGTTCCAGTAGGTTAAGTTCCTCTTCTAAAAGAAAAGGATCTGCTTCTAATAGGTCAAGTACCAAATTTTCACTGCTAGTAGGTCATCATCATCTTTCTATCTTAAAATATCGTTAATTAAATTCGTCATTTGTTTTCAGGTACATGATTCTTGATTCATTTTTTCATGCTTACTTCTCGAGTTATTAATTAATTGGAGCTTTTGTTTATGAATGTCAGATATTGACAATGAATGGAATATTTTTTTTTGTGTTCCTTTTGTCAAGATTTTCAAATGAATCATGAATAATCAAACATAAGTTTTTTAATTTAGTCATTCCAGTTGAGTTTCCAATATTTCAACAATATCTATTGTTTTGGATTTCTCTAAAAAAATCTCATACAAAAGTTCTAGTATGAATCCAACCGATATCAATATCGGTATAAAAAGATTAGTAAAAGCATGAGCGCACAGGTAGAAGTTACTTTCAATAATAGATGCTTGGTGTTTCGCTTACATAGTACTCTCCTGACAACAAAGGAATTCTATGTTTACCACAGTATGCTGAAATTCTTCAAAATGATACTTGCATGTTTAACAAGACGTCCTATAAATGGCTCTATTTCTATTCCTAAAAATAACATGCATACACCTGTCTAGTCCTATCAGTAAGCAGAATGAAGTACCAACGTAGATCAAGCACCTCTAATTTCAGGACAGCCAAAATAACCAGAAAGTCTTGAGCGTACTATTTCGTTACTGTAACTGTTAAAGTAACAAGAAAAGTAATACGGATGGAATGGAAACAATGCTATATTGTCATAGAGTAATTGGCACATTTATGAATAAATCAAATAATTGTCAATCTCATGCGGAAAATTCAGAAAGTTGAATATTTTCAGATTAATAATACATTTCAGACTACGCAAAAAATTAAGAAACTTTTCGTTATGATTTTTCCCAGTAAAACTTGGAAAGAAAATATGCAATCTAACTGAGCGGAGTCAGGCATTAATGAATCTCTAATTGGAAAATTTTAGATGAAGGTCCTTCTGTTAGGAATGTTGAACAGTTTTTGATAATTTCGTTATTTCTTTTATATTTCATAGTGATAACAATAATTATCATTGATAGTAATGACAGGGATATCTCAACAGTGTTTATATCGTATACAGCAATAATCAACCAAAAACATGCAGTGAGTAGTGGCAATTAAGTGAAAACATATTGCAGGAAGCATTATCGATTCGCATATCGATAGTGCCAATTTTCAAATATTGTCGCGATAGGCAGATTTAGTGCATTAGCACTACTGCAGTCTCTTTTTTGTTACTTTTATGATTAAATATTAAATTCTAATTAAGATCTTGCGACAACTTCAAATGAAACTTCAATCTAAATCAAACTCAATTCAAAAAATTCAAAATCCAGAAAGGTTACATTTTCTTTTGCGGAAGTGAAATATGAAGCATTAAGAAAAACGCAAATAAACAGAGGTGAAATGTCAATTTGTAATCACTTTTTTTGAATTGCATGTAATATTTAATCAAACCAGAAAGAGAAATGTAAACAGATTACCATTTTTACAAGTTTCACAAGTGTAACAATCCGCTTATACATTATTTTCAACATTTTGAGCGAAATTTTTTTTCGCCAATTAGTGTTTTTATCAGTTCTAACCCTGGTTTATTGCTATACACAGCCTTCCAAAAATTTTCCAGTTTTTTAGATACTGAAATCCTTGTATGCAATAATATTTGAGAGAAATTTTGAGAAAACAATTATAAAAGCTATAACATAACCAGGCCATATTTTATTACTAAAGTCATATTTACTAACATTGGAGTCATATTTACAAGCATTTTAGTTAGTTTTGAAAATATCGTACCGTTACCACAAACTTTATTATTATGAAGAAATAAAAGCCGAGCATAATTTCATCAAAAAGAATGCATTTCAATTGGTAATGCAACTGAATGTTTAGAGTGTAAAATATGTTTTAAGATGAATTAAATAAAGTGGTGAGATGGAAATAGAGTTTTAACTCCAAAATTATTTTTTTCTAAATTTTGATTAAGCTATCAAACTGTTAGAGCTAACAAATATTAGAAATTACCTTTCCAAATTTACTCACAATTTAGTTATCAATTCATTAAAAAGATGGTTATTTATGGTATCATTAACTTCAAATAAAATAAAAGCCAAAATCTTAAACAAATTTTTAAATAATACAAAATTTGAAATACTACGTTTTACAAATCATTTTGAGATGAAAGAAAACATAAATCAGAAATGGAATTGTCGTTATTAGTGAAATGTTAATTTATGATTATAAGGATCGCAAGTAGCTGGCATTTCATTCAAGCTTACAAATCCTTTTTTAAGAGGAAAAATTCTGCTTTATTCATCCTCTCGTTTCGGATATCTTACGTTTTTATAAGCACAGTGTAGAAGAGAGAAGTTTCCTCAACATAATCATTAATTAAATTAAGAAAAAATATTTAACGACCTTGGATAGAAAGCGTATAGCTAAGCAGTGAAGCGCATATCACAAAATATTATCGCAGGTATGGTACGGAAGTTAAGTGATATAGGAATAAGTCCACTGATCAATAAATTTTCACTATTGCACTTTGTTGTAAATTTTATGAGATTTAAAATTGGCATATGATATATTCAGAAGTTTTTATGATATTTATCCAGTCCTATCGGCACTTATTTTCTCAATCAATTATGAGAAAATGATCAAGAAAGAAAACTAAGAAGAATAAAATGCCATTTTCTTACTTACCCGTTATTAGAGAGAATGCTATATCGCATGCTTAGTTTTTGATCTTTTCCTAAATTTATTTCAATGAATTTAATTGGATACAATATGATCCTCCAAAAATCTTTTACCATTTCAAATTCTCCATGAGTACTGTAAACAGAATTCAGCGTACTTGGCACTCACTGTTTGCTTTTATATTTAATTTCCGTCTAGTTGTAATTAAAGCAGAGGAAACAGGATAGTAATAACAATATATATATATGTATATATGGTCAAGAAACTTAATGTTTGATCTTTTTAAGACGAAATATAAGAGTATATGAAAACATATAAGGAAAGATTATAAATCAGTTAATGGAATCTAAGTCTCCTTCAAGCTTTCAAATAATGACATAGATAAGTACAAAAAATGATAAAAAGAAATGAAGTGATGTTTCCCAGGATTTAATGTTTTATATTTTACATAGTTTAAAAAGGTGTGGAAATATAAATTGCTAATGGTAACAGGTATAGATAAGAGAAATACCTAGTTTTGAGCGCGCAAAAATATAAATTATGAAATAGAAGGAAAATTGAGGTTACAGCTGATCATCTTTACAAAATTTTGATCAAAAAACTTGAGCAAAAATAAAATGCTTTTCAAATCGATGAAAGGAAATGAAATCCATCTACTATTTTTCTAAACGTCTTGAGTTATGGAAACGAGGTGATATCTTCTATATATGTTAACTCTCTAACAAAAGACACTTTCATTGCTTCACTGAAAAATAAATGTCAAAAATCCGAATTCTTTCCAATGAAAAGATGAAGGTGCAGAGAAAAAGATTAGAGTGCAAAGGAGCGGAAAAGGCAAGAAACCATAAAGAATGAATGAATCGTCCTCTTATTATCACCTCCTAATATATAGCATTTTCAAGTTTGTTACTTGTACTCAATTTATCACCAAAATTGCTTTACTAAATCAGTAATGAAGATTAGTCAAAACAAAGCATTCTGACATTTATTGCTTTTCTATTCATTTCATCCTATCACACATAGAACAGAGAGAGGAAATTTCACTAATGTAAATTTCATTTAAAATAAAAACATCTATCTAGATGTGATGAACAACTACACAACAAAGAAGTCATAAATTTTGAAGCAACAAATATATTATGAAATTAAATGTGGTTGAAAGTAGAATTTGACAAATTAAATCAGAAAAGTTTTTTAAATAATAGTTTACCAATTTTTTTTTCTAAATTTTTTTTAAAAAACTGTTTTCACTGACCATAACTGTCCTCGCCACCACACTCACTGTCAGCAGTTCGAGAACTATTTACCGACAGAAACCATAACAACACATTTACAAAAGATGAGAAAGGAATAATATGAAATTAAAAACTGAAATTTTTACATTCCTTTTACTTTCCTGGTTAAACTTTAAGAAATCTCAATTTGTACTCCTTTGTATAGAAACCACAAGGCCTATTATAGCTTCCTTTATTATCATAATCAGTAAGTTTAAGATTGTCACTACTTGTTATTTTTTATCATTACTATTTCCAGAAGTGGAAATGGGAACCTTTCCACTTCTGAACTTGGGTCGCTTATCTTCACTGCTCATTTTCATTTAGATATTGTCTTGAGAATAGTCTCGTCTTCCACTTGCGTTTACATCGCGAAATGTGCATTTCGTTGTTTTGAATCGAGCCATCCGTTTTCATAATGCAAATCAACCTGATTTTTCTGGAATCCCCTTGTTTCACACCTCTCCCTTTTCACATTACTACTCGACAAACTTAATTTCAAGTTATCTTTTTTAT